GAGTGTTATTGACACTTTTTATTTCACTCGTTATTTCAGGACGCGTTCAGCGGATGTCAGATCTTGCCATGCTCTCACAAGGTTCACAGAGAATGTGCCATTGCAATGATACAGAATGGCGTGTAAGTATATGATTAAATAGTGTGTAACGACTGTGCGAGACTTATTAAAGGATATTAATGTCTGATAGTAAGTATGAACTAAGGAATAAGGGTAACAATAACGATAAATGACTGAATCCGTATCTTCAGTTAAGTTTTTTCACAATCTGAAAAGGGATGAGGACGTCAGTTCTTCGTTGAGACGATACTGTCATCGTTTAACCGTTTTCGCGTTTACCAACTGAAGTATAAGCTTCTCTTAATTGGTGCCATGAAAACTCTTCTCTGAGGATGTAAATATCCTGCGTACATTTTATGGGTGAAAAAGGCTCAACGCCATACCAAGTAATGAGGTACAATAACTAAAGGAAAATTGTAATCGAGCGTCCAAGCCAGGGTTGCTTTGGTTTACTTCACTCTGTTGCTGTCCTTGAAAACCTCTGGCAGCCTCCAACCCCTTCTTAACCAATGCAAGCGCAAAACCAATACCAATTGCGATTTGGTCACACACGTTTTCCTGCGCTCCAAGAAATTTGAGTACGATCTCAATCGAATTTCAAAAGTAATCTGGGATTACATTAGTTTTTTTTTTCACGTCGTCCTGTGATTGACTTAGAAATCCCAAGCCAGCCTCTCATCCAAACAGGTTCAAAACGAAACCCATCCGGGGCTTGGTTACTCCTTTTTTCCCACCTTTGAAGAAGTTTACTTCTTTTTCCCTTGATTTCTCATTGATCTCTTATGAAATTATCCCTTTTATTTTTTGGCTTTAGTTTTTAAAATCTTTATCAAAAGGGGCTCTAATAACATACACCTAATAGATATCTGACAGTTTTTGATTATTTCTTTTGCTTTTAGACGTAATTGCCCAATATGCCGCCATCCTCTGTATGGTCATCTCCAGCAGTAACTTCTTTGACTCTCGAAACAGAGTGATACAAATAAAACGATTTAAGGTTTGTCCTTAAAAGATATTATCGACTCATTGTGCGTCTTCAATTGCGAAACTTAGTTGTCGTCGATATTTTCTTCACATGTGTCGGCTGCAGCAGATAAAGTATCTTTAGTAATAAAATCGCCTTCAATCTTTTACCTCAGTTGAGTTACAAGAGAGCAGAATATTGCTCAATAATCGGTTACCTATGTGAACTAAACTTCTTAAGGTTACTTCCCACCTTCAGACGCCAAAAAAAATCGTTTTTTCTTTTATTGGACTAGATTGAAGTTACACAATTTTTACCTAATGTTTACTAAAAGAAAAATTTAAAAATCTCAAAGAGCGTTCGACTTATTTAGGAAAAACGTATTTTCAAATGAAAGATAATAAATCAGGAAGGTGTCATAATCTCGTAAATGGGCGAACCTCCTGGGGGAATATCGCGGCAATTTCATGTTATTTGCATATTTTGTTTACAACGCGCACTTGATAACATTCACACGTGCAAGTTCTCTGCTAGTGGATAGTCTTTTCTCATGGATAAAAACATAGGTCAAAATTAGAGAGGAGTCCTTGGGCAAAGAGAAAGAAAAAACAGGCCCAAAGAAGAGAGAAATGGCGCCATTTTGTCAGGAAATAAACAATCCTGGCACTCCTCTCCACGCTGGCACCGCGAACAACGAGGTTGCCATCAAATCTACATCTAACAACAAACACATGAAATACATATATATATGAACTGCGGTTATGAAGCGTATATGTGCACGATCCTTCGCAGTAAAGCACTATTTAAGCAATAGTGAAAATCAGACCTGAAAAAAATTCAGGCCTGTACGGGATTCGAACCACTGACCTCTGCGATACTAGTGCAGCGCTCTACCAATTGAGCTAACAAGCCAACTGGGAGCAGGCCATCAAATTAATTCGACATAAACCCGTAGATGATAAATCAAACAACAAACATATGAAATACATATATATGAACTGCGGTTATGAAACGTATATGTGCACGATCCTTCGCAGTAAAGCACTATTTAAGCAATAGTGAAAATCAGACCTGAAAAAAATTCAGGCCTGTACGGGATTCGAACCACTGACCTCTGCGATACTAGTGCAGCGCTCTACCAATTGAGCTAACAAGCCAACTGGGAGCAGGCCATCAAATTAATTCGACATAAACCCGTAGATGATAAATCAAACAACAAACATATGAAATACATATATATNCGTATATGTGCACGATCCTTCGCAGTAAAGCACTATTTAAGCAATAGTGAAAATCAGACCTGAAAAAAATTCGCAGAGGTCAGTGGTTCGAATCCCGTACAGGCCTGAATTTTTTTCAGGTCTGATTTTCACTATTGCTTAAATAGTGCTTTACTGCGAAGGATCGTGCACATATACAAATCTACATCTGTCGTACCAGAGTTATTAGAGGGAACTGGATCCTCTATTAACTCTGGTCGTACATAAGGTCAAAAACGAAGTTTCCTTTCAATAGGTGGTTTGCAACCAATCTCTAGAGACACAGGTAACAATGGTGCAAGGAACAAATGCTGGTGGACGAACAAAAGGAGCCAATGAGATATCTATTGTTTACGTCCACCAACATGGCGGCAATGACGTAACGTGCAAACCACCTATAAGCAAGTACCGGCCTTGATACAAAAACATAAGCAATCGCCCCGAATCGTATGAAATCATGAATAAGCCCGGCTACCCAAGGGAACTCATTCAGCGATAAGGGTATTCCTTGAGCTATCTGTCGATTCGCTGTTTTGCTTTTCAGCAGTTTCTCCAGCTTTATCTTTTTCGCCGCGAGTTTTTCCTTTGCCGACTTTGGTAACGTTCAACACAGCGGTACTTTTCGCGAGAAAATCTTGATCCATTGTCATTGACTCTAGGAGGTCCCGTCTTTCCACTGATTCGCGGTTTCAGGAAGTGAGATGATCTTCTAGTGTGGCGCAAGTTATTTACAAACCTTTAGGAGCTAAAATCTCGCATTTGATTTTGAGAGATAAACATCCACTTTGAGCAAATTTATAGGGTATGTAGATTTGACCGATTTTCGTGAAATTTCGCCAAAGCATTTCAGGAGTAATGACGAACGAAACTGTGTCAGGAAATTTTTGAAATATTTTTCACGCAACACGTCTCGCCTATTCTACGCTACTCTAACTTTAACTGCGGATATCTAGTCAACCAATCAGAATATGGGAAAAGCCTGACACACGTTTGTTGATTGATGCCCTGTGAATAAGACAGTAGCCGTTATGCTCCTGCTGCGGGATCAGATACCTAATAAACTCAATAGAAGGACCCTCTGTCGTTTCGCGCCTTACCGCCTCCTGACACAATTTTCTGCAAGTAAGGCTACGCGCGAATTTGAAATATTGCATCTCAATGCACTGTGTGGAGCAAAAAAATGTCTCAGTGACTTATTAGTTAAATCAAAGTTTGCGTATTGCACCAAAGTATGACACATCGTGATTCGTATTTCTTATGGCCAGTCATTATTTCAAGTATCGCCTAGCAAGGGGGGGGGGGAAGAATAAGAGGATTCTGGTGGGATCGCATCGAGGAAAGAAGGGGGCAGATCATTCGTCGCCAACATGGTATAAAGGGGGACATAAAAAATAACTGCATATCAACTGGCAAAAGTAGGGATCATAAGATATAAATGAGCCTGATGGGGGAATCAGGTAGATCTTAACCTGACAAAAATCTTTGGAGGGAGATATTACACTCTAACTAAAGTTTCTTAACTTAGTAAGTCAGTTATAGATGAATATTTGATTGTCCTGGGAAAAAAAGTCGAAGATATTAATTTAAAGAGGCACCTAATATGTACAGGACATTGACCTGATGGTTTTCGCCAAAATCTCGAAGATCCACCGTCAATCCAATACACAAATACAGAAGAAAAAGTGTCTAAAATCACTCGCGGGCATTGAAACTGTGCTGCAGCTTTGTGTAAGAATTCTTGGCGAGCAAAACTCGATGGACTACAACATTATCGTTTGAGTGATATCCAGAGCAAGGATAAACAACACGCGTATGATAAAGTTCTGAAAAATAAAGAAGTCGATTTCAAACGTGACTTTATATGCTCGGAGCACTGGAAAAAAGGCTTTAGAGAGAACTTAGACGATCTCCCAGATAGAGATAGATCTAGTTTTTATTTCAACAAGAAATTGTTGCTCCCAAGTACTCACAGCATCAGGACTGGCTCCAAATCTTGCATCTGAGGGATGTTTGAAGAATCCACATTGGCTGACGCTCATTTTATTATATCCTGCTTAAATTGAATGGTAGCATTTCCTTCCTCCTGTTTCCCTCTAATGAAATTAGGCAGTTTACTTCTTCTGGGGTTCAAAACTTGTTCGTCAATTTTGTTCTTAATTGCAAACCGTGAGTTGTGAAATTCTTTTATGCCACAAAATCCAAGCAGAGATGGAACCTTGCTTGCAGTAATTTCCCAATTCTAAGTGCTTTCCAATTTTGGGAACATTGATGAACTTCACAATAGTGTGGCTTTTTGAGTAAAAGAATGGAGCTTCTTGTATCTTGTAACACCTGGTCAGATGAGCTGCAAGGATCATTTGACTCCTCAGTCGAAAACTGAGGCCTCCAGACTGACTCACTGCCTGCTTGAAATCTTGGTTTTAAAACTTCTTTGTCATAATTAAGGCCTTTTTCTATTTTTCATACTCAGGTTTGTATCATGAATGCAATCCAGGCTTCTTTTGTATCATAAATGCAAAAACAATCTAGGCTTCTTTTTGTATTTGGTTAAAACAGAAACGAAATGACTCTCAATCGAAGGCTTTTGTGCAATGTTTTCTTTGATTTGTTTTTCCATTTGATTGACATAACGATTATACCAATCACTGAAGTCACTTGGTTCCTTACTTTGCACTTGTATTCTATTTTTTTTCTTCTGCCTTGTTCTCTTTAACTGCTGCCGAGCTCCTCGCAGAATTCTTAAATATTTAAGCTTGATATGTGATGCTGATTTCACAGTTCTAGAGGTGGATCCTTTCAAAACGACTACAGGTACATTAACGTCTTCGCTTTTTCCTACAACTTTCAAACAAGCATTTGCAGGAGGAATTTCCGACACCTTCAGGGCAGTATTAAATTGGAATGTTTTCTGGATTTGGCCAACTTTCTTCTCGAATAGCTCTTCAGACTCCACCAAAAGAGCAAGCCTTTTGGCTAGTTCGTCCTTTTCTCCAGTTACCTTTAGTCCTAAATCTTTGCAGTAGATCTTGAGCTTTCCTTTAGGTAAATTTGGCAATTTTTCACGAGATATTTCTCTTTTAATCAGCTCATACTTCGACGTTTTAGAAGTGCTTTCCGCCATTTTAAATCTGGAATAATGTGAAAAGTTCGGAAAAATCCGGTAGTGCCACGCCCCTGCGCGCCATGAAATTATGCAATAATTAAGTTTTTGTACCAAGTTGCAGAGAAACGCTGAGGAACAATCATCCCGCAGATGCATCGTTTCTCTGTAAGCAGCGTGTTAGTTTTTTTCTGATGGAACGAAACATGTCATCAAAGAATTGCCTAGACGAAGCATTAGGTATTTTGAGAAGTTCTGACTTCGGTTCCGATCACTCGATTTAATGCAATATAATATCGGTCTTGCAAGGCTATTATTATGCGAAGACTTTCAAGAGGTTCCTCAGTTGGGGTCGTGCCCTGACCGTAGCGGGCGAGAATGTTCTTGTGACGCAGCAGAAGGTGTTGTGAGCCCTGATATTCCATCCTTTGGAGAAGACAGTAGCAAGTGAGACAGCAACGAAGAATTAGACGAACTAGAGGTTCGACAATGACTGTGTGAACATTACCAGCGGCTCTCCCGTGTCCAGTTCTCACGTTACAGAAGGTTCTTTCGTTGTCATCGTCGCCACAACAACTCTGGGTGTCCAAATGACAATTCCAAAGCGAGAGAGGACGTGTTATGCGGAGTGCTCTATTTGTAGCCATCAACAAGAGGTATATAGACGTGATATTGACTTGAAGTGTTAAGCTTAGGTTC